CAGGTCTTTCCGGCTTCCTCCACCGCCAGCGGATCCAACTCACCACCAGGTGGTGATCGGTTGACAGCTCAGCCCCTCTCTTCACCCGAGTGTCCAAGACACGCGGCCGGAGGTCAGATGACACGACGACAAAGTCGACCTCCGGCCTAGGGTGTCCTGGTGCCACGTGCACTTATGGACACCCTTGTGCTCGAACATGGTGTTTGTTATGGACAAACTGTGACTAGCACAGAAGTCCAATAACAGAACACCACTCGGGTTCAGATCAGGGAGGCCGTTCCTCCCAATCACCCCTCTCCAGGTGTCACTGGCGTTGCCCACGTGGGCGTTGAAGTCCCCAAGTAGAACAACGGAGTCCCCAGTTGGTGCACTGTCTAGTACCACTCCCAGGGACTCCAAGAAGGCCAGGGTACTCTGCACTGCTGTTCGGCCCGTAGGCCGACACCACAGTGAGATACCTGTCCCCGACCCGAAGGCGCAGGGACGCGACCCTCTCGTTCACTGGGGTGAACTCCAACACGTGGCGGCTGAGCTGTGGGGCTATAAGCAAGCCCACACCAGCTCGCCGCCGCTCCCCGCAGGCAACACCAGAAAAATGGAGGGTCCAACCCCTCTCGAGAGGTTGGGTACCAGAGCCCAAGCTGTGCGTGGAGGTGAGGCCGACTATATCTAGCCGGTACCTCTCAACCTCCCGCACAAGCTCAGGCTCCTTCCCCCCCAGTGAGGTGACGTTCCACGTCCCTACAGCCAGGTTCTGTGTCCGTGGACTAGGTTGCCGGGATCCCTGACCCCGACCTCTGCCTAGTTCACAGCGCACCCGACCCCTATGAAACCCTCTGCGGGTGGTGAGCCCACAGGAGGGCGGGCCCACGTCGTCCCTTCGGGCTGAGCCCGGCCGGGCCCCGTGGGCAAAGGCCCGGCCACCAGGCGCTCGCTTTCGAGCCCCAACCCCAGGCCTGGCTCCAGGGTGGGGCCCCGGCTGCGCCATACCGGGCGACGTCACGGTCCTTGTTTTTAAACTATTCATAGAGGTTCTATGAACTGCTCTTAGTCTGCCCCGTCACCTAGGACCTGTTTGCCATGGGAGACCCTACCAGGGGCATAATGCCCCGGGCAACATAGCTCCTAGGATCATTCGGGTACACAAACTCCCCCACCACGATAAGGTGGCAGTTCAAGGGGACCATCCCCCAAAAATCATTTTTGTCTACCATCATCATCGTCTTCATATAACAGTATATTAGTACTCTGGGACTGTGGTCCTTGCTAGTGAAAAAACATCTGAAATTGAATTATAATGATATATGCAAATTCTAGGAAAATTCTGGGGCGACACATAACATATAATATGGAGAGGTGGTAGACACAGAAAAGTTACATAATTCAATGCTAATTGGAAGATATAAGATGTGGTAAGGTACAGTATCTGGCCTATATAAAACAGTATACATGCCCTTGACTATGGGCCAATTTTAGCTTAAGTCAAGCCCCTTTTTGAACTGCATCAGTGTGTGCAAAGGGCATCCAGGATTCCCTAGACTGATATGACGAGGACACCAGGCTAGATCGAAAGAGATAAGAATAGACAGGTTTTTGTTTTTTTGTTTTTTTCAGCTTCTTTTGTAGAGTTTGCTCACATACAAAGGCTAATTGTAATCCTCCAAGTGGTCTTGTTAACAAAGCGTATGGACATGCATCATTATGTGGTACATTCATTAAACAGAGGCCAGGTTAATTTGTGTTTTTACATAATTAAGTTTCAGTAAATGGACTGATTTAGGAATGGCCAAAGGCATAAAATGATGCTCGTCTTGAATACAATTATCAAGTGGCACCATGAAATTAGGCAGTGAGTACAAAAATAATCATTCATCTTTTGGTAAGTAGATAAATTTAAAATTGTGTTGATAGTTAGTGGGGAGGTACAGTATTAATTTATGTTTTATAAGTATTCAGGTCAATACTATTTCAAATAAAAAAATACACAAAAATTGTTTATTATATTTTATAACGTTATTACGTTAGGCAGCACAGTGGCTGAGTGGCCAGCACTTTCACTAGATTTTCTCCATCAACCTTAAAACACAGTGTAATCCTCCAGCTATGTAATCTGAAGACTGGTTCCTACTGCTCCTGATTGGTTTCCCTGAGTCACTGAAGTATGGGTTTTTTTATGGATTAATAAAGACTACAAATAAATATTAGTGTTGTCAAACTACTAAAACATTTATCAGATCAATCACACTTTTGACATATGACTAATCATGATTAGTCACATTGAGCTCTGACTTAAATTTTGCAATTTAAACTTTCTAATGTGAAGCATTTTTAAACTTTCTCTCTTTTTTATTTACAAAAATATCTATTATTTACTTATTCCACAAATCAAAATTAATTATTTTAAAGCCCATCTGGCTCTAACTTAAGTCTAGAATTTGCATTTAATTTGTGTGAACATATGTTCCAGGTTAAATTTTTATTATTCAAATTGGCTCTTGTGATTTCTAAGACATATTAGGCTGTTGTTACCTCATCCTAAGGGCTGTGTTTTGTTTGTCACTGTCTACAACTCCTTAAGTTCAAAATGCAAGTTAACAGCTACCTTTTACATTTTGTTCATTAGAGATCGACAATGGCATGGCTGAAATTTTCAAAATGATTCTAGTGAAGGTGTGTAGAGTTCAAAAACAGCCTAAACTCCACCTAAATGCAGGGTTGCAGGGTTTTTGTCTAAAACCTCTGCCTTAATCCCAAAATCTGATAGGTTAAAGACCTCCACAACTCATCATAAACTCTGGGAACTACTCTGCATCCAACTTTATAATGATCATTTTAAAATAAGATCAAAGAAAGTGGCAAAAACATGTAACATTTCTGTATAACTGCAAATGTTATGGATAAGAGTGGCTCCAGTCTAAAAAGTGAGGTTTTGAACTGGATGTTTTGATTTTGGATGAAAAGACCCTCCTCGATTTCCCCATAAATAACTGCAGCCTGGTTTGACACCAGTGTTTGTGTATAATAGCACAGTAAAGCGTCCAAAGTGCAGCAGGATTTTACCGCCATTTAAAAATTCATTTTACCTAAAAAGCCTGTGCACAAAACGGTAATAGAGTGTGAAAGGCATCCAGGCAGCAACAGCGTGTCGTGAGATGGCTGAGGTGCCGGAGCTGTCAAAATCCATACAGACATTAATATGCAGTAGATTTCACATTTTAGCGCTAGTAACCAGGGGAAATGCACATATTAGCTGATTGTATCAATTTATAGTTATAATACTGAGCAAAACCCAAATACTTTAAATGAAACGTGGCAGCATGTAAATCCAACAATGACTAAAATAATTTAAATTGTAATAATAGATGTAATTGTGCTCATGAACAAGTTCATATTTTAGCATATACTTCAAGTGCAATGTTATTACAAAGTGACACAATTAAAATACAGTTTAAATGAATGTTTTAATTTATTAGTTTCATTTCCAGAGTAAGAGTCAAAATGTACAGCTTTAAATAAAATGAGATGGAAGATTTTAATTAAAGTTGTTATTGTAGTACGACATTGAGCAACTGTTCATTGGCAAAGTAGGGAAAAAGGTATTACGAAACATTATGGATTAGACTCAACAGGAAAGTAATGCATAGATGTAAAACCACTTTTCAATGTAAATTAGACCGTTTTATGGGATTTCTTAAAAATTTCTTAGACATAAACTATATAGAGGTAAGATATTTTCTCTTTGGACTATCTGTTTTGTTTTGAATACAAATTTAGCATATTTTTTGTTTGTTAAGGCTTCGGACTGGCCCAAAGAGCTTGCTTACTTATAACCCATTTAAACATATATAATACTTATGAATTACGTATTTTTATGTTGTTGCATCAGTAGCTTTATCAGTAGTTGGGGCTCAGAAGCATTCTACACAAAAAACATTGGGGTTGAATTGGCAACCTAAATATAACTTTTATTGTAAGTTGTTGTACAGGTCAACTTGTATGCGTATATATTATTTGTAGTACATCCTACAGCATATATTTTTCATAGTATCAGTCTTTCTTGCTGCTGGGCAAAATGCCTGCAGACCATTCGACCCCATGCAATAGACATAATAAAAGCTAGTGTGTGTCTGTGATCAACAGGGACATCCATCATTGGGCCGTGACAGGCCTGAATGCTGCTGGTACTAGAGTCTGATTAGACAGGCGAGACACAGCTGTACACCACTCTCTCTGGAGGTAACTCCTTATCTATTGAAATAATGTTTTTTAACCAATAACTGTGATTGCACCAGTGATTCAGGCCAGGTTTGATTTGTGCTGCTGTCTCTGCACAGCTCGTGTCCATGAATGTTTGATAGTGTTTCTGCTGGTGCACTTGTGTGTAAAGGTTATTGGTCAAACTGTGACAACAGAGTGTCCATGTGGGCTCTCTGCTGAGATCAGGAAACAGCTCAGTCACTGCTCTGAGCCGGATCAGGGCAGACGGCTGTGAGGAGTTTATTTAGGGCTTGTACTACGAGTGGACCACAGTTCCCATGTAAAAACTATTTCAGCAGTTTAGTGGATACCATTTCAATGATAAATATGTTCCTTTAAGTTTCTCTTCATTTTTAAAAAAGTATTGAAGTTGTTTTTATTTGAGAATCCATCACATAATATATGTGGAAAAGAATGCAAGCACTTTTATGTTCATACTGTTATAAATGAGCAACTTTTATGTGTAATACAATTTAATCTGAAAAGAAATGAATTTGGTTTACATATTATGGGTGTACCAAAAGTTTTTAAGAATTATAATAACAATATTAGAATGTATTTTATAAGTTTATTGTTTTGTGATACTGTACATTGTGAAGTACACTTAAGTTTACTACTAACGTTTCTACCTTGTGGATACAGTTGAGTTTCAAGAACAAAACAAAAATCATATGTTCAAAGCAAACATAAATTACTTTGATACTTGAACAATGTTTTATTCATGTGAATGACTGTTGCCTTACCTATATTTTCCATCTCGGGCACAGTGGCGATGTAGGGACCCTGATCAAACACAGGCGGGTTGTCGTTGATGTCCTGCACCCTGATGATGAACTGGGACGAGGGCTCCAAGGCACGGTCCGTCTGTCTGTCGGTTGCCGTGGCGATGAGGCGGTACTCGTCCTTCTCCTCGCGGTCCAGTGGTTTGGTCACGTGGATGTTCCCAGTCTTCTCGTCAATCACAAAGACAGAGCCCGCCCCCTCGCCTCTCAGCACATATTTAGTGCGTCCATCATTCCTGTCCATGTCCGTGTGCAGCTGTGTGAGCGATGGAGTGGGGACACAGGGACCACAGCCACAGGACAAGAGAAATGTGGAGAAACATACAAAGAAAAGAGGAGAGTTAAAAATGTACTTTGTATTTTGAGACAAGCAGTGAAGACAAAACAAGCAGATTATCTAAGTCCTCATGCATCCAGGACATAATGAATTTAAACAGAAAGCACACAAAAGAAGAGTGCACAATGCCTTTCACACACTTCCTCTCATTGTGATGGCTGTTCCTGAAGCACAGCGGTTATGAAGGGGGATCTTTCTAATCTCTATTATATCCAGAACACATGCTCCTCGCCTCACTCCAAAGCCTTTTTACTTTACAGCTGCTGTATAGGAGGAGGACTTACTCGTCTGCATGCATACACTGCACAGGGTGTTTAATGAAAGCACCAAATCAAAGGTATAATGAACAGAGGGCCAATCAATTATTCTGTAACTAATAGGTGTGTATGAGGCAGAGAGTATGAGGGCGCTTGGTGCTGGGACATGCTTTATTGATCCAGGCCAGTGTGGAGCCTTATTGGATGAGTGCCTGGCGGGACAGCAGAGCAGCAGAGCGGCCCGTGTCCTCTCAAGCAGATAGAAGTAATATCACACACTCCTCTGTGTCCTCAGACAGTGACTGCAGCAGGACGCACTCACCGCATCAAGATTCAATCTCATTACCCCACACTGACGTGAAGCGAATGGCAAGGGTGTCCGAAAAAAGAGCCCTAAATTAGCCCTTCTCAAGAAAAAGTGTGACATTGTGACTTGAGACTGCACAGCGATGCCTTTAACTGAGGGAGCATTGTTGCATGGCAACAGCTAAGCACATTTGCTAAATGAAATGAGAATGGATACTGTGAATTGAAATGTTCATTTACTTTGAAGATAGTAATTTTTCAAAGAAGGAAATAGCTGGGCTTCCAGGGGGTAAATGATCTGAAGTTGAAAAGGTTGTTTGGAGCTATGAAAGCAGAGATTCAAAAGCCAAAATTATAATATAATGTCAAAAGGTGAAAAAGAGAGAGCATTTTTCATGACCACTTAAAGACCACTTAGAGAAATACACATTAAAAAATACATTCAGAGAAATCAAAAAGAAAAATCTACAGAATATCAGTCTTTAAGTACATACTATACGTGTAGTGTGCTAGAGTCTTTCCCTGAAAACTCCAAACAACTGTGCCCTCATAACCCTTACATTTACATAAGCAAAGTGGCTGTGGTCAGCTCCCAGCTAAATGTCTTAAACTGCTTCAGAGGCACAACTTTCATTTGCATGTTAATGAAAGCATTTATTAGAGCATTTCATTCTAAATAGCTGTGGCTAAGTACAGTTTTCTGCTTTCCTTGAATTGAACACTAACTTTAGATTTTCTTTATCCCTCAGGGTTTAGCCTGCAAGTTGAGTGTAATGACTTTAACATGGCCCAATGCCCTGGAGTGTGGGACTATGCAGTGTATCAATCAGCTGGACAGTTCACTGCACATCCCAACATAGAAAGCCCAAAATACATCACAGAAAATTCAATACAATTGTCGAGTATACACTATATAGTTAATGACAATCAAATAAAAACCTCATACATACAGTTCAAGGGCATTTTCTGTTTTGTTTTATTTGTTCCATGGTCAAAACATGCTGTTGTTATAACATGTGTAATTTATTTATGATGACAAAGAGTGCTCCCATTGCTTGGGTCAATTATTACACACATGTCCCAGAATCTGCTTCTATCAATTATATTCACAGATGAGGACGCACAGGGTCAAGTTGAAAGTGTTTACATCTCTACTCGCCTCCAACACTACGCCCGGCTCTCACACAGCGCCATCTTGGTCTCGAGGCCATTCGGGGCCAATTGACCCAAACATGCGGCTGGTCAGGACCACCTGGGGAGTCGGGTTCCACAGTCTCATTAACCAAAAGCCATTAACAATCAAAGTCTTAACGGCCTCGCGGCTTAACGAGAGGACTTAACGAGCGTCCTAATGAAGCCCGGGCCATCATTACCACAGTGAGCGCTGGTGTGGCTGATTGAAAGCACCGCTCAGGGCTATTCCGCAACAGGACGGTCCCGCCTTAGGAAACCAAATCCATTTAAGCAAGACTTCTCACCCATATCTGCCCCCTCTGAAGATTAAAGAGGACGGGTGAAGGGAAGAAGCACTTGAACTGTTATGGATATTTCATAGGCAAAGGTGGTTCAACTTTGGAATATCTCTCGGCCACCTGTCAGGCAAAGCTATTTAAATAAAATTCAAACATAATATAATTTATCACAGCTGTTTAGCCTGAATAATACAAAATCGCATAACTCCTACACTTCATACCCCGTGATATGCCATCTAATACTTCAAGAGCAAAACAATAAGAAGGCACAGGCCACAAAATCCAAATTTACCAATGTGTCACCTCTGCTTATCGAGGGGACCACTTCTATTTTCTCCCACGTGTTATGAATGCAGCGCCTGGCCTTTCCCAACTCCTAAATCTCTTCAATTACTTATATTATCATAAGGTAATATGCTTATACTCTTATACTCAATTTCACATTTTTGCAATCACCATAAATCACCAAACGATGAGGAAAACCGTTCTGTGCCAACCTCTAAATCACTGGAATAACACCACGCACACAATTTCACATTTCTGCCGCTCAATAAATCATGAAAACACCCTATGAAAAGTGTTTTTTCACACTCATACATTAGGCTAATGAACGTGACTGTTTCTCCCACTGCCAATTCAGCATGTGTGGCCCCAAACAACAAACTCCACAGCAAAAAAGACAGGGAAAAATGGGAAACTGAATGCAATGATGTACAAATTTGAACTGATTTAAAGGGGCAACCTGTCTTACAAAAATGTTAACAGAACACAATAAATAGCTAGATGGCTAGATAAGGTACATCTGTAGTTTCAATGTCAGAATAACAGTGAGGCCAATTAAAAAGTAGTGGGGATGTAAGGCTGTATCAAGTGCACAAATGAATGTTTCAGCAGGACAGGTACTTTCTTACTGCTTTGTACTGAAAAAATATGGATAGACCTATATAAGGTATCAGTACTCACAGACTGGTATCGAGAATTTAAAAAATGTGTATCATTTTTTATTCTTTATTTTGATAACTAATCTTCGTCAGGTTCACATAAAACACAATTGCATTTATAAGTACATTATAAAAGAATTTAAACGTTTTATATTTGTTGAGCAGTTTAACAGTGCTTTGTTAAGATCGTGACCAACAGTGTTTTGTGTTTAGGTTTACTTTTTATTTATAAAGGTTGCACAGTGTGAAATCATGAACAAAAAGAACTGACCCACAAATATACAGAGGTAGGGCATGCCCCATGAGGATTTTGACACCAATATCCAGGTTCAACTCTTACAAAACCAAGCATTCTTCAAGAGCTGAGCAGTGTACAGGTTTTGGCCTATCCCCAAATCACCACTACAAGGAAACGTGAAACTACTTCATCTGCTGTGTGGCAACTTCAAAAGACTCCCAAGACGCGAAGACAAGTGGAAATCCAACAGACCACTCCAAACTTCACAACCGCATAGACGAGAGAAGGGAGCTGGGAGTTAGCCAGCTCTTTTATATCAGTCAGGATCCAGCAGGGCAGGGGTGAGGGGGTCAGCCAATCGATTTGGAGCAGCCCCACAAAATTCACTGAAATCTCAGAAGCATGACCAGGGGAATATAGAAGTGGAATGAATTTGGAAGTAAGTTCAGATAAACATGAACAGAGGGTATGTTTTGTACCAAACTTAAAGGTGGCATATGCTGTTTGCATTCAGTGACCATGCAAAAGATTATGACCACTGCTGTTTGAACATTTTAACTCTATTTTGGTGATATTCTGATATATATATGTAAAAGTGCTGGTACCTGGTTCAACATTAGCCTCTCTTATGTGTGAGAGAGAGGTGTGATGTCTCGAGGTCGCCTTGTGGCCTGGCTAGAGCTGCTCTTGGCACTTCCATTGTGGCAAGTGGACAGAGCTGAGACGTGACTGAGAATAAGTGTGAGTGTGTGTGTGTGTGTCCTGCAGAGCTGACCCAGAGAGAGGGGGGACATTTGAAAAGGAGCCAGGGAGGTCTAGAACAGTTCACAGAGCACTACACAAAGCTCAGGCCAAGAACTTCACAGGGACCAATAATTAAAGTCAACAGGGTCTGCGGACTGCACCGTGATCGACTCTATCAACACGGTCGCGCTGTTCTCCATCTGGATATGCTCATCACATATGGACCAGGGTCCACAGGGTCCATAGGGCATAGCAACATGTGGTGCTTCTTTGTAATCTAGATATCTGAGAGCAAAACACAAGGACACTCAGTCAGTCAACAATGAAGACTTTGCTTTGATTAGAACTAAAGCAGTACTACAGTCCAGGACACCATCAATGCATCATCAAGTAACAATCACTTTCATGTTGTGACAGATGTTATTTCAGTGCATGTTTCTCAGCCCTGCCTCCTCTGCCAAAACTTTACCAACTCACAGTAGCATCATCTTCTATGATGATCACTGAGAAAGATAAATGATCTGACAGGATAAGTTGTTGAACACAAGTTTAAGATAGCTTCTCCCAAGATGCTCAGTCAGAAGGTTCAGAAGAAACACATGCTGAAGCCACAGGAGGTAGGAAATCTCAAATCCCACTCATAGAACATAGCTTGACTGAAAGAAAACGGTTACCTGATTTGATTCATGTAAATTTATCCTCTAGCATACATGAAGTCAGTATATTAAACCTCTCTGATAAACTAACTTTCCTAAGAGGTAATCATATTCTCCTTACCGCATCTTTAAGTAGTAAGGAGACTCTTTAAGAGCTGTTCATAAACACACATAAATGCTAAAAGGGCATTACTTGCCTGTGTAATCTGAAGAGACATGCAGAGCAAAACACCTTTCTATTTTACAAAAAGTCTCAAACACAAACTCCCACTTCACGAGGAGAAGAAACGCAACGTCCTCTGAGG